CCTCTTCCTCCTCCTCCTCCTCCTCCTCCTCCTCCTCCTCCTCCTCCTCCTCCTCCTCCCTTTCTCCCTTTCTCCCTCCCGCTTTTCCTCGCCCCCTTCGCCACGGCCCCAGGGGCTCAAAGAAGGGACAAAGACCCGCGAACGGGACCCCTGCGGCGGCCGGAATGGTCGATCCGATCGCTCCCTCGCGCCCGCCGCAGTCGGCGAGGGGTCCCACATGAATGATCAATTAATTATATACTGGGAGGAGGAGGGGAAGGCGAAGGGGCGGGAGGGGGAGCAGAAGGAGGGGACGGCCGCGCAAAAGGCGCAGCGGCAGGGGCTGCCCGGCAGGGGAAAAGAGGGAGGAGGAAGGGAGAGGGGGACGGGGGGCGGAGGAGGTCGTCGGCGCGGGCGTGGTGGTCGTGTTGGTGGTGATCGAGGTGGTCGTGGTGGTCGTGCTGGTGGTGGTCGTGGTGGCCGTGATGGTGGTGGTCGTGGTGGCTGGTAGTTGTGGTACTGCTGTGGTGGTCGTGCTGGTAGTGGTGATACTGGTAGTCAGTCAGCTGGCGGCTTGTCCTCCCTCCCTCCCTCCCTCCCCCTCCCTCCTCCCTCCTCCCTCCTCCTCCTGCCCTCTCCCTCCTCCTCCTCCTCCCTCCTCCCTCCCTCCCTCCCTCCCTCCCTCCCGCTTTTCCCTCCCTCCGCTCCCTCCTCCCTCTCCCTCCTCCTCATCCTCCTCCCTCCTCCCTCCTCCTCCTCCTCCTCCTCCTCCTCCTCCCTCCCCCCTCCCCCTCCTCCCTCCCCGCTTTTCCCTCCTTTGCTCCTCCGCTCCCTCTCTCCCTCCTCCTACTACCTCCTCCCTCCTCCCTCCTCCCTCCTCCCTCCTCCCTCCCCCTTCCTCCCTCCCTCTCTCTCCTCCTCCTCCCCTCCTCCTTCCTCCTCCTCCCTCCTCCTCTCCTCCTCCTCTTCCCACCCCCTCCTCCCTCCCCCTCCCCTCCCCGTCCCTTCTTCCTCCTCCTCTTCCTCCTCCTCCTCCTCCTCCTCCTCCTCCTCCTCGGGAGGCCTCCGACATGGCCGATTCCGGAAACCCTGAGCCCAGAAATGTAATCATTTCTTGGGGACGCAACTTTTACTTCCGCCGCCCTCCGCCAGCCTTCTGCCGGCTTCCGCCGGCGGAGGCGGAGGCGGCCTGGTTTTACTTCCGCCGCCTTCCGCTGGCCTTCCGCCGAGGAGGAGGTGGCAACTCCCTCGATGATCTGAGGCGAGGCCCTTTTCGGAACTCTCCCGCATGGGGTCCGAGCACGGTCGGGAGCTTTTGCGTAGCGTGCCGCCGCGGCGGCCCCAGCGACACGCTTTGCCTTGCAGGCGGGTAGCCTCGTGTCGCTCCGCTTCGCAGGGCGGGCTGCTGGGACAAAACTCGGGACGCTCACGCCTCGGGACCGCGACTGGCGTGTCGCGCCGAGGCGTACAGTCGGGGCCTTGACCTAAGGAACCCTAAATAAGGAACGAGACCCTTTTTCTCCATAAGCTCAGCTTCGCTTTCCTGTCGAAAACATGAGGAAAGCCTGAGGCAAGTTGCAAAACACTCAAGGAACGCGGAGCCCCTCCCCAACGAAAAGGGTTCCTTCCTCAGGGCCCCGACGGTAGTGGGCCAGAACCGGTGGAGCGACACGCTGTCCAACAAATTCCTGACCGTAGATGGGGTCGGAGGTCGAAGGATGTCGCCGCATCGCCGGTGCGTCGCCGACATCGGCAATGCATCTGTCGCCGTCAGCGTGGCGGAGCATCGGGCTCCGCACCGAACGTGCTCCGATCCCATCTGCGGGGGCGCCCCTTTCCGGGGAGACGCAAGACCCGGGCACCGGGGGCCTCGGCCTGGCCCGACGGGGCCCACCCGAGCCCCCCGCACGCTCCCGATCGCTCCCGTGGGCTCGCCACCGATCGCTCCCCCCTCAGCACCCCCCCTGGGGCGGAGGAGGAGGAGGAGGAGGAGGAGGAGGAGGAGGAGGAGGAGGAGGAGGAGGAGGAGGAGGAGGAGGAGGAGGAGGAGGAGGGAGGAGGAGGAGGATGAGGAGGAGGAGGAGGAGGAGGGGATGAGGAGAGGAGGGGGAGGGGGAGGGGGGAGGGTGATGGGGAGGAGAGGAGGGGGAGGGGAGGGGGAGGGTAGGGGGAGGCGAGAGGAGGAGGAGGAGGGGGGGAGGAGGGGGAGGAAAAGATGGAGGAGGAGGAGGGAGGAGGAGGAGGAGGAGGAGAGGGGAGGTAGGAGGAGGGAGGAGGGGGGGAGAGGAGAAGGAGGAGGAGGAGGGGCGGGATGGAGGAGGAGGAGAAAGACAAGAGAAAAAAAAAGAGGCCCAGACGGATCGCGGCGTGACGTCCGCTCGCCAAGGGGCGGGTGGCAGCTGCGGAGGGCCCGCGCGGATGCACAGGCGCGCCACCGCACCGGTGCGCCGCCCTGCAGAGCTCGGCCCAACAGACGCTCCAAGAACTCCAGACTGTCTGGCGGCCCTCGCCTCTGCGCCCCAGCTCGAACAACTGGAGCGACCACCTGCGTAACATGCAAGAGGCCAACAACCTCAACATAGAGGCGCTGGAGCTTATCCTCAACCTCATCACGAACGTCCTGGAATCCGCCACCAGGTCCGAGTATGTCCAGTATGACAAGAAGTACGGCTACCAATGCAGCATCCAGTACGACAGCCAGCACGACTTCGCCAACTACCACGACTACCAATACGACAGCTGGTATGGCTACCAGAAGGAGCTTGAGGATATGCCCCTTTGGGCGCTCCATTCTGGAGTAGAAGCGAGCACTAGCCCTGAAAAGAACGATCAGAGGGGAATCCCCCAAGGGCTCCCCTTGGCGGCCCCCCCCAACTATCCCTTCGGGCTATGTCGCCAACGACCGCCCCGTCTCCACGGCTGGATCTGCCACGCAATTCTCAGCAGCAAATCTGCACCCATAAGGCCTCACCAGCATAGCTACAACGCCGGCCCCTTCGGCAGCACCCTTGGCGCCGCCAGCTGGAACAATTTCGGCGAGGAGAAAACCTGCAACGGCGGTTCCAGCTACAACTCCGCAAACTTCGACGGCTACCACAGCTACGACGCCGCCAGCGGCAACGCCGCCAGCTACAACGCCGCCAACCCCTTCGCCAACGACAATGCCCTCGACGTCAACGCCTCCGGCAATGGACGCGGCGGCGGGCAAGGACACCTGCGCCTCAGAGAAGCGCGAAGGACACCGCCGAGGAGCCCGAGAAATCCAACTGCACCGACGAGGAACCTAAGGAGGCAACCAACATTGTCGGGGAGGCCACCTGCACGGCCGAGAAGTCCAAGGGGTCCACCTGCCTCGCCGAGGGGTCTCCGCCACTCGCGCCCCCGCCTGGATCCAGAGGCCCAGCCTGGGGTCGAGGGGGAGGCCGACGACACGGAGGCGAGAGCCAGCTGGATGCCCACCACGAGGCCGCACGGATCGCGGTTGCCACCCTCATCGACGCCGATGACGGCCACTCTGAACTCAGACTGGAGCACGAAGGAGATCATCCACCTCGTCAACGACGAGACCATGAACCCCACCGTCAGGGCGTTCCGTATCGACCCCGCGAAGCGCATCCACATTCTCAACTGCTGCGGCGGGCTCCTCACGCCGCAAGAGGAAACGGCCGCCCTCGAGCACAGCCTGCACAGCCTCTTCGCGCAGCCACAGGAAGAGGAGGCCCGCCCACTACCGCGAGCGCAACTACAGTCGACCCGTATCATGATGATGATGCAGGATCAGGATGCCAGGGCCTTGGAAGGCCATCTCGAAGCTTCTCGAGCGGGGCGCGGCCAGCGAGAGTGGCCAAGGATGGACCGCGGAGGGAAGGATGCAAGGGCTCCCTTGGGAAAACTGCCTGCCCTCACCATGCGGGTCGACTGTGCGGCGACCACTGCGCTACGGGCCACGCCTTCGGCTCCGCAGCCCGCAGCCCACCAGAAGGGGAACCGCCCCCTCGTCGTCGCCCCCCCCCCCCCCCCCCAGGGTGAGCGTGCCGTCCTCCCACAGGGGGGAGACTGGCCATCGCTCGGGCGTCCATTCCCTGGGTTTTTTTCGGTTTCGTGCGTGGTTTTTTCGCCAAATGATCAGGGATGCTCCTCGATGGTCCTCGCCGAAGGAAATATGCACACGTCCGAGCGATGCCAAGGAGAGGGTTGGCAACCCTCGGGGGGGCGGGGGAGGGGGGGGGGGGGCGAGCGAGACTCGCGGCTGCAGGGCCGCCCCCCTGGGAGTAGCAGAGGACGCGCAGGACGGACAGGCGGACCGCCGGGCGGCGTGCAGTGCCTCGCAAGCCACGTGGGTGGTCACCGCATCGGGGAAAGATGTCCCGAGCAGGGCAGCACGCATCACGACCACGACGACGCCGCCGACAGCGGAGACGAGGCGCGCAGACGATCCGCACCGAAGCACGGATGTGGGGAAGGGCCCGCCCTGCAGGTTCGGTTGAACAACACATCGTGGAGCGGTGATGCAGCCTCCCGTGAACACAGGCCCCTCCAGAGCATCAGAGGACCAGGGGGAGGGAAAGGCGACGACCCACGGCGCGCCGACGCGGGGCGAACCCCAGTGCGCGAAAAGGCCAGCATTCCCCCCCGCCCCACCCCCGTTTCCCCCCTCCCCCTCCTCTTTTCCCCCTCGAAGATCTTCTGACCCGCGTCAATGCAAACCTGGGTCAGTCAAGCCTTGCACGATCCTTCAAGATCCTGCAGGATCCTGCACCCAAACCCGGGTCAGTGCCCCCCTGGCCCTGCAGGATCCTGCAATATCCGGCGCTCTGGCTGACCCCCGTTTGCAGTGACCCCCGCCTCTGAGAACCGACCCCCTCTCCCCGCTTCCCCCGGGGGAGGGGTTCTGTCTGCCTTTTTGTGCCTGTTGGGCCCCTTTCTCCCCCTCCTCTCCCGCCTCCTTTCGTCCTGCGTCGGTCCGTGCGTTTGGCCTCGTCCTCCTTCTTCGGGCCCCCAGAGCGCTCCCCCCCTCCCTCGTCCCTCGCCGGCCCCGCCCGCAGGCGCGGAGATCGGCCAAGTTTCGGACCTGCCCAACCTGGCGCGCCCGACGGCGCCGCGGGGTGAGGGCCATGGCAGCGTCAGGGGGACACAGATGCCATCAGGTGCCAGGTGCCCTGGAGGAGGAGGAGGAGGAGGAGGAGGAGAAGGAGGAGGAGGAGGAGGAGGAGGAGGAGGAGGAGGAGAAGGGGAGGAGGAGGAGGATGAGGAGGAGGAGAGGAGGAGGAGGCGGAGGAGGAGGAGGAGGGAGGAGGAGGGAGGAGGAGGAGGAGGAGGAGAGGAGGAGGAGGAGGAGGAGGAGAGGGAGGAGGAGGGGCGAGGAGGAGGAGGGAAGGAGGAGGAGGAGGAGGAGGAGAGGAGCAGGAGGAGGAGGAGGAGGAGGAGGAGGAGGAGGAGGAGGAGGCGGAGGAGGAGGAAGACGAGGAGGAGGAGGAGAGGAGGAGGAGGAGGAGGATGAGGAGGAGGAGGAGGAGGAGAGAAAGGAGGGAGGAGGACGGGGGAGGGAGGAGGAGGAGAAGGGAGGGGAGGGAAGAGAAGGGTGAAGAGGGAGGAGGGGAGAAGAGAGGGAGAAAGGGAGGGAGTGTCCTCCCTCCCGCCCCTCCCTCCCTCACCTCTCCTCCTCATCCTCCTCCTCTCTCCTCCCCTCCTCCTCCTCGTCCTCCGTCCTCCGTCCTCCGTCCTCCTTCTCTCTCCTCCCTCCTCCCTCCTCCCTCCCTCCCTCCTCCTCCCCCTCCTCCTCGCCAAAATCCTCCTCTCTTCCTCTCCTCCTCCTCTCCTCGTGCCTCCTCCTCCCTCCTCCTCCTCCTCCCCCCTCATCCTCCTCTCCTCCTCTCCTCCTTCTACTTCCTCCTCCTCCTCCTCCTCTTCCTCGTCTCCTCCTCCTCATCCTCCTCCTCCTCCTTTGTCTTCCGTCCTCTCTTTCCCTCCTCCGCCTCCTCCTCCTCCTCCTCCCGTCCCCCCCCTCCTTTTTACTCCTCTCTCCTCTCCTCCTCTCCTCTGCTGTTTGCTGCTGCTGCTCCTCCTCTCCTCCGGCCTCCTCCTCTCCTCCTCACTCCGGTCCTCCTCCTCCTCCTCCTCCTCCTCCTCCGCCTCTCTCTCCTCCCTCCTCCCTCCTCCTCCTCCTCCTCCTCCTCCTCCTCCTCCTCCTCCTCCTCCTCTTCCTCCACCCTTTTCCTTATGCATAACTTCTCCCTCCCTCCCCCCGAGGGCAATTTTTACGGCGGACCGGGCGTTTCGCCTGAGACTTCCTCATCTTGTATGACCCTGGAACTTAAACGATGGCAACCGTTCCACTTTTTGAGGGCGGGCCGTTTTCAACATGTGGCTCTCGCCTTGGCGCCGGGCACATTCGTTTATACAAATACAAGAATTTCGCAGGTTGATGGCGAGCCGTTTTCAACATGTGGCTCTCGCCTTAGCGCCGCGCATATCCGTTTTCAACATTTGCAAAAGTTTCACGGATTGAGAGCGGGTCGTTTTCATCATGTGGCTCTCGCGCCGCGCACATTCGTTTTAAAACATTGGCAAGAGTTTCACGGATTGAGAGCGGTTCCTTTTCACCATGTGGCTCTTGCCTTTGCGCCGCGTGCATTCGTTTCAAACTGGTGCACGAGTTTCACATATTGAGAACGGGCCATTTTTAACATGTGGCTCTCGCCTTAACGCCGCGCACATTCGTTTAAACTAACATGCAAGAGTTTCACGGATTGAGGGCGGTTCCTTTTCACCATGTGGCTCTCGCCTTAGCGCCGCGCGCATTCGTTCTTCAAGCTCAACAAGGGTTTCACGGATTCCAGTGATCAGCGTACCAGAAATGGTGTTCTGGAAGGATCCAGGATTATGAGGTGCAACACTTACGTTGATTCGCGGTGTTGAAGTCCCAAGAATGGCGGTCTGGCGCGATTCAGGATTGTGAAGACGCAACAGTCAGAGTGATCCGTGGCCTTGGAATCCCAAGAACATTCTTTTGGCATGCTTCAGGGTCTTCAGACGGTTGTCTTCCAAAGAAACACATCGTTCCCTCAGTGGAAATGAACCCTTGTAGGGGCCTGTGAAGAGGAAGCTTGAGGGAGGGTTTATTCCAACATCGTTGATGACTCTTGGGTTTGCACTGGTTCTTCTCCTTCTCCTCCTCTCGCTCCTCCTCCTCCTCCTCCTCCTCCTCCTCCTCCTCCTCCTCCTCCTCCTCCTCCTCCTCTCTTTCCTCCTCCTCCTCCTCCTCCTTCTCCTCTCTCCTCCTCCTCCTCCTCCCTCCTCCTCCTCCTCTCTCCTCCCTCCTCCTCCCCCTCCCTCCACCTCTCTCTCCTCCTCCTGTCCCTCCTCCTCCTCCTCCTCCTTCCTCCTCCTCCTGTTTCCTCCTCCTCCTCCTCCTCCTTCTCCTCCTCCTCCCCAAAAGCCACCATACAAGAAACCTAATAACAACTAGCGGGGGAATCTCCATGGCGGGGCCCCTCTGAGAACAGGGGGACCAAGAATTGCAGAAACATAAAAACTCGGAGGTCCGCGCGGATTTCTCGGATCGGCGTTTGAGCCCCCCTCGCGTCGCCTCTGGCGCCGCCCCTGGCGCGCTCCGCTGTTCACAGTCCCGCGGCCCAAAAACGGCCCCCAGGAGGCCGAAAAAGCTACAAACCTCCCAGGAACCCGGAACCTCGAACCTGCCCGCCCTCCCTGCTGGCCGGAACCAAAGCTGGGCCGACCCCCCGACGGCTCCCGGCTGGAGGGGAACAAAGACGGGGGCCATGACCAAAACGGAACGCGGAAACGCCGTGCCGATCTTGGCCAGCGTCGATCTTGGTCAGCGCCACCTCGTGCATCATCCTCGCGACATCGGCGACGGCCGACATGGACCTGAGGGGCAACGATAGGGGGGGACTGGCATCAGGGGGGGATGCATCGACCTGGAATCGGCGATGCATCGCCGGCAGGCCCCCGATGGTGAATCCGCAGCTTCCTGTGCAGGTCGGGGCTATCGGGCCCCTCTCGGCGATCCGTGGGCGATTCGGGGTCGATGCATCCCCCCCCAGATGCCCGTCCCCTCCCACCGTTGCCCCCGCGGACCACGACCAGGACCGGAGCGGAACCGACCCCGCGACGTCCCGGCCATGGCCCCCGGTGCCCCTCCCCTCGATTCCGCTCCGCCCGCCGGCGCGGCGCGCCGAGGCCCGGGCAGCGGGCCCATAGTTCTTCGGTCCTGCCTTCGGCGCGCCCAGCACCGCATTCAGGTTGCTGTTCGCGAACCTGCGCGCGCGCGGCGGGGGCCCGCTCCCTCCCCCCCCGGGTCCTCCCTGGTCCTTGGAACCCTCCTCGCCCCCTCGTCCTCGCTTTTGCTGGCCTGCTCCTCCCCGGGTTTGCCCTCGGACGCTCTGCCTCTGTCGCCGTCGCTGTCTCTGGCTCTGTCCGCCTCCGTCTTCCTCTGCCTGTCTCTGTCTCTGTCCCTCTCTCCCTCACTCTCTCTCTCTCTCTCTCTTTGCCTGTCTCCCTCTTTCTTCTCTCCCACCTTTTGTTTGCTCTCTCTCTCTCTCTCTCTCCCTTTCTCTCCCTGCCTTCCTTGTGCTTCGACAGAGAACTGTTCACGCACACCTGCTGACATATTTGGAGACCATGCCTCGATTCGGATCCGCCACCGTCCGTGCTCTCCCACGCTGGGCGTGTGAGGATATCTCTATCTCTCCAGAAGGGAATCTGCGGCATTTCAGAGGCGAAGCCCCCGTTCGCAACACCACGCTCTGGAGACTGCATCCTCGACGGCGCCAGTAATGGTTATGCCGCGCACTTCTCCCCGCGAAGGCAGCGCTCGAGTCACATTGAGACAGCACTCACGCATGCGAACGGGTATTTTTTCCCAGCGGAACACAACCTCCGACCAATATTGCGCAGGTCACACATCAGCTGGCAATGCGAATCGAATTGCATTCCCATTGAAACCGTGAGACACAGCCAGGACGAGGTGGAAAGGGGACAAGGAACAGGAGAGCAGAGGAAGCGGACGACGAGGAAGGAGTGAAGGCAACGACGCCGACAACATTTTGACTGCCCCACACGCCGGCAGCTTCAAAATCTGGCCCCTGCTAGACGTAGATAAAGAACTGGCCAGAGAAGGAGGCGCAGCAGAAGGAGGATGAGCAGACCGACGTGCGCGACCCCACTCAGCGCAGCCAGTGCCGACCTAAGGTTATAAGCATGCGAGTGGGTACTTGACGCAGCCGAGTCAACCTCTGTCGCTCAAAACATCTATACCAGAAATTTCTGCGAGAAGGTCTGGAACGTTTGGCGGCAACTACTACTCCGATTCGAGCACCAGAGGTAATCAGCTGGCGCATTGTCTTTCGCTGCGCCCAAGCGAACTGCTTTGGATATGAACGGCCAGAATGATCGAATGGCAGAGGCAGTGGGCATGTCAACCGCTTCGATCTTCGCCTGCTTGCAAAGATGCGGCCAGATTTTCTGCAGGATTTCCTCCGAGACAGTACCAATAAGTGCAGTCATCGACCCAACGTGGTCAGCGAGCCGTGCTGTGATGGTTCTGGCACATATACCTTCCAAGCGCGTGAGGTTATGTGCGACAGCGTGTTGCCAGAGTGGAAAGTCGACGGGCCCCGCACAAAGAATGTCTTCGCATTTAGACTTCATCGCTTCGACATCGTACTCATTCGCCCAACGGCTTAGGAAGACAGCGTTACTTGCGGATATCAAAACTTGGCTCATGGGCTGTAGCACATTCCAAAATCCGCCACCGTGCCGCAGGTACTGAGTGGAGTGTCCTCAGGTCCCTTCGAGTGCTCTGTGGTGGATCGTCTAGGAGCTCTTCGGGGGCCCAGACCCACAAGTCGCGGACTTCCTTGGGCGTGGCGCGTGACCATCCAGGCGCCTCGCGTGACTTTTCCCTCGGGGAGGCCCCCAAGAGATCTCCCAGAGTCCGCCCGCCTTCAAAATGCCCCGGGGAGGCCCTCAAGAGGCATCGCAAGGAACCGTACGGCGTCCACGAAGACTCTGACCCACAACCCAAGCACGGTGGCGGGATGGGCTGAAAAGGCACTAGATCCGCCGCCCCTCGTGGTCTTGCCAGAGGGGTGCACGGCGTGCCGAATGTCTGGCAAGTCCCAAGACGCCATCAAAAAGCCTCCTCCTCCTCCTCCTCCTCCTCCTCCTCTTCTCCCGCAACTGCTCCCCCCGAGGGTTCCACAACCACTCGGGCAACACATTGTCCAATAGCTTAGCAAGACCTCGGCCCAACATTTGACCACACAAGTGTTTCCCAAACTTAGGGGGGCGGCGGTGGTTCGCTATAAACTTCTTCAATACTTTGAACTCATCCTTCTTCTTGTCCGGAAGGTGTATGACCCGGTTGCGGCGCACATCCATTTCTAATGTAAGCATCTGGCGGAACACTGGAGACACCATCATAAGAATGAGCGACTGTACTTTGAACTCCTCGCCTTCTACAACCAACGTGACATCTGGTTCGATACTGTAACCACGGTGCTCCGAAACTTTTTGCCGCTTAGATGCTGGACTATCTGCTTCGGCTGCGTCCGCCATGGCAAGCGAACCGGCTGGGGTCAGACCTCGGACGAGAATTCGACTCTACGAATCTTGAGCCAACATGGCTGCGGTACGGTGAGGACATTAGATAAGGAGCCATTGGATAGGGAATCCATCTGGAAGCAGGAGGAACTCCAGTCGTGGATTCGCTATGGAGATGACCGCCGCCCTCAGCCATGAGGAATCCTCCATGGCCTGAGGCCGCCTCGGCACATTCCTCAACGAGAGCGCCTCCACCGCACGGTTCCGCCGGGCATGCCGGGGTGCCTTCGTCAGAGCCAGCGCGCCCAGGAGCCCACATCGTCCTGGAGGCGCCCCGGGGGCTCTGTGTAACCGTGATGACACCGCGACTCTCACGGAGAGCTCGGGATACCTAGATTATTGAAGGGGCCCTGGGACACACAAATAAAGAGACACAAATAACAGGATCCCCAATCTTTTCCAATCTTTTCTGGGTTTTTGTCTCCCCCCCCACTTCCCATTGTTTCCAATATTTTCGGGGGGATCGACGATTAACTGTGTCTGTGTGTTTTCCCTCCTGAATTATGCGCGCGTGCGGGTTCTGCGTCCGCGCAGGTGGCGGGGCCTTACTGCATGCAGCTGGACATGTGCACACAGGGTCCAGCTCCTGCAGTAACGACGCCCAGATGGGGAACGAGGCCCCCTCTGGCAACGCACGCGCCGAAACTTGCGAGGCGTGGCCGAAGATCAGCGCTCCGGGCCTGGTGATCCGACGCGACAACTTTTTTGGTTGATGCTCAGATGCACGGTCGAAGCCGGTGCGGCAGACATCGGCAAGGCAGAGCCCCGTGCTTGCATGGGGCTTTTTTTGAGCTCCACGCTCTGTCCGCCACGTTTGGCGAGGCACCAGCAGGCGGAACAAATCCGCCACGGCACGCACCAGGGCCAAAGGGGGCGGCCTGGTGAGCCGAAGGGCCACGGGCGGGGAGGCCATCGGGCGCATCCGCATTCGCGCCCTGGCGAAGCCGCCCCGTTCAGTTCTCTCTCTCTCTCTCTCGCGTCAGGCAGCGGCCCGCGGCCTGCTGCTCCCCGGCCCCGGGGTCCAGTCGCCCGGCGAGCGGGCGCTCGCCTCCCTCGCAGGGCCCCCCCAAAAGGCTCCCCCGTGGAGGGGTCTTTTTTCTGGTTTTCAGGACAGCTCGACGAACCTCTGGATTTTCTTAAGATTTTCTGGTTTTCTGGTTGAGGATTTTTTTTTTGGTTTTCAGGCAAGCTCGACGAATCTCCTGCACGGGCCCTTGGCGGGGGCCCTGTCGAGGCGGGGGCGGCGGCTGCTGCCCCTGCGCCCTTCGCGGGGGCGCCCGCGTCCCCAGGGAAGGGGGGTTGGGCGGGGGCACTGGGTTGGGGAGAGCTGGGGGCTGGTGGGGTCGCACACAACAGAGGACGCCGAGAGAGGGCAAGGGGGGCAGGCTCGAACTGAAACTGCCCTTGGCGAGTACCGGGGGCACAAAGACAAGCGCCAGCCCCCAAAACATTTCCAAGCAAAAAGCAATACAAGTAACGACGCAACTGATTCAACAAATGCATATTCGCGGGCGCACAGGACAGGTCGGCTGACGAGGAGAAACCTGCGGGACCCGAGGGGCCCAAGCCTGTTGGAGACCCATACTGGCCTTATTTCCGATGCTTTGTTTGTCTGCCCCCCTGTTCTACAGCTTCACAACATGACGAACACTTTCGTTTCACCGCTGACACTACGCGCGCGCTCGCTCGCTCCCGCCGCTTTGCGCGTGCATCTATTACTAGCTTTTCTGTTCGCGGCGCTGGCGGTCGCAGAGCGCGTTCCAGACCGGACGGGCCACGCGCGGAAGGAGCTGTACCCAGCAGGCGCATGGAAGGAAACGAGGAGGCCGCGGATAACAGGCACGAGAAACAGAACACGACACTCGAGGCTTGAACACTTGACGCGTTAACGGGGGCACGCGATTCAACAAAAAGGGGAGCAGCACGTTTTTTTCAATAAAACCGTTTCGCGGGGGGGGGGGAGGGGGGGCTAGGACACGAGTAGACCACGCGCTCGCGGCGACGCTCGAGTGCGCTCGGAACCCGCGCGCCGCCGCTCGACGGCGCCCTGGCGCGCGCGCGCGCCGCCGCTCGCGCCTTCGGGACTGGTGGCCCCGCTGCAGCGTCGGCCGCGCTTCGGGATCGGCGCGCCTTGCTCCCGCCGTGCCGCCCCGGCCCACCTCGCACAAGGGCGCGGCCCGCGCTTCTGGAGCCCAACGCCTTCCTCCTCACTGCCGCACCCCCTCCGTTCCCACCCTCCGCCTTTCCCTAATCCCTGCGTGCCTCTCACTCCTCCTGCTGCTGCTGCTTCTCCTCCCCGAGGTTCCTTATTCTCCTCCTTCTCCTGCTCATCCGCCACCTTCCCCACCTCCTCCTCCTCCTCCTCCTCCTCCATTTTGCAAGTCCCCCTTTCTGATTGCGCATCACGCGGTGTCGTTTTGGGGGTCGAAGTCCTCTAGGACACCCCGTTCTGCGGTTAGAAAAGAACTCAGGGCAATGGGATGGGATGAAGGAAGGGGAGGGATGTCAGATGTAGCGCGAGCGCGCCTAGCTTACCCTCTCCCCCCTCTCCACACTCACCTCTCCTCCCTCCGCTACGGGAGACGGTCGGGTAAGGGGGACCAGCCCTTTTTCATGTTCCCCGCCTGGTGTCGGCGGTGCGCCGAAGGGGGAAG